TCCAACTCATCGTTCTGCAAACACACGAAACATGGCAGCGCTCGCCACGACCGTAACCATGTTTTCCCTGACCCCATGACCACCCCGCTTCGCCCTCACGCCCGCCACTCTGTCCCTACCGCTCGTGCCTCGTCTCATGTGCCCTCGACGTCCCCCGCTGCCGGTGCGACCGAGTCTTCGGCACGTGCCGTCGTGCCCGCGGCCGAGCCAGTGACCAGGACGTCAAACGGCGGCGGGGAGCAACATCCCAGCCTCGGAAACACTTCCAATGCTTCTCCCCGCACCCCTCGCACGACATCCAGCCCTCGCTCCTTTGCTCAAGTTGCTGCGGCAATTCCTGCCGCCGCCACTGCCACATCTTCGGCCCCTGTGACCGAGGATTTGTCAGCATCGGTGCCCTCTGAGCCAAATGGCAGCGGGGAGCAGCAACCCTCGCCCGAGTCCACAGGGCAGACACATCATTCGATTCCTAACACACCATCGGATTTCTTGACCATGTCTTCGGATGAAAGCGACTCCCCTCCTCGCTCCACCGCACTCCGCGCGCCCACCCCTATTGCCCCTCCCGCGCATGATGGTGACGGTGACACAAACGGCAGTGCCACGCCAGAGCCATTGGTGCAATCACCTACACCCGCTCAAATGGTGCTGCCAGATCCATCGGGTACACAACAAACCCATTCCGATCCCTCTCCGCCCGCTGCTTCACCCCCTGCCACTGCCATTTTGCCCGCTGCCATTTCACATCCTGTCGAACACAGTGAGCATACAAACTCAGCCCCACTTGGCGAAGTCAGTGAGAGTGAAACACACAATACAGCGGGCGAACACAGTGAGAGTGAGCAAGATGTCCTTCTCAGCGATCCTGCTCCGCCCATCGCTGCCAACGTGCTGGATGCCCAGCGCAAAGTCCTGCTGAAGACATCTGGCCACAGGCAACTCCTCGCCTGCCCATTTGGGCTTTGCAAATGCAAGGGGCCCCGCCTTGACCGCAAAGCCTGGGTCAATCATGTTCTACGCGAGCACCCCTACGACGAGCAAGCCACTGATCTGGTCAAGCAGGTGATGGAGGCCAAATTGGTCGCCCAGTGCAACAAGTGTCACCTCTTCTTCGAAGCTGCTGGTATCAGTCAACACCGCTCCCGATGTGGTGCCAATCTGAAGCGAGCGACCGAGGCGTTGTTTCATGCGGCTGGACACGACCTGCTTGAGATTATGCGTGGCGCTTGGCCCCAACAGTGTGTAGGGTCTCGCGTCAGTGTCTGTGAGCTGCTCAAGCTCGCCCGGCATCCACTGATGCAGCGCAGCCGCTACCCATCCAACGCCACCGAGACCAAGCTGATGGCTGCCACCCTGAGCCAGCTGTATTGGTCTGCCGTCCACTCGGACTATACCGCTGAAGAGCGAGAGATGTGCTGGGCTTTGATTTTGGCCTTGCCTAGCATGTTGTTGTCTGCTCCCTCGACCGCACTGTCTACGATTGACCTGCGCAATATGTTTCACGATCGTCTCCGTTGGCTTGTGACGGGGCAACTAGGTCGGGTCGTGGACGCCATGCGCAAGGCAGTCGCACGCAAGCAGAGCCGTCGAGGACAGCTGAACGCCGGCGCGGGCGCCCACCCGAACGACGCAGTCGACCAGAGCCTCAGGTCGCTCGTCCGCG